CACTGCTGCCGTAACACTGGGGCTGTCTGCATTGCAACTGAGTCATAAGGCTATTTTAACGGATGTTGACTGGAATGGTTTTCTAGAAGGGTTATGGAAAAGGAAGAATCTAGTTGTTAGCCGAGAGGACAATCCTGAAGTGCCCCATTGGGGGAACAGCAAAAAGAGAACGTAAGTAGATGAGTGAATGAACTTTGATTTGGAAATTTGTTTTTAATCGTCAACGTTTAAAGCCATCGTTCTGTGATTATGTAAATTCTGAAAGTTTTCTGGGAAGTTTTCTGGACTGCCTTGTGGGGTCAAACCAAACAATATCATCTCCAACTGCAGCCAGAAGTTCTAAGCGAGTGCTTAGAAAAGGGCAAAGTGATTTTTAGGTGTAGCAGGCAAATTTTCTAGCTAAGTCATACTGATAAATCTTTGAATCTAATTAATATGGTTGTCTAAATGATTTTTTTCTCAATTTTCTGATATTAATATTTTCTATTTTCCTTCCTTTTCAGAAACAAGGGATAAGACATGTGAGCCAATTGAAAAGCTAGATACTTCTTTGCTCAGTGATCACAGCAGAATAGGTACTGTATCAAGCCAAACATAAGAAAAACAAGTTTAGAGATGTTGTACTACAAGTAAAGCAATTAATCACTCATCTTCCCCTAGATCTTATGGGGCTAAGTTTGCCTCAAGGTGCTACTAACAAAGCAGTTTTTTTGTATAAGTATTTGACAAATTTAAACAACTTGGAGCTGCTGATGTTTCTTTGACATATAGGGCTTTGCTTAAGATGGTAACCCTGCTACATCCTGTTTAAATTGCTGGTTAGCAGAGCAACTGGAAGTGAAAGAGCACTCTCAAAATAAATGACTTGTCCCAGTTCTAAAAGCCTTGTCGACTTTAGAGGCCTAGATTTTATGTTTAAAATCAAACTGTTTGGTCAACATATAAAAATATCTGAATTGTATGCACTATATGTTTGACTGATATAAACATTGGAACTACTGGGGATGGTTTGGTGGTGTTTGATCTGGACACACTGGATAGAATGACAAAAATTTGGGTGACCTGATATTAATCCACAACTATTTCTCTTTATTTTGATTTATTATAGGACTTAAGCCATCTATCACAACTGAAATATATCTGTGTAGCTCCTAGATACTAACAGCTGTTTAATTGCTCCTTCCAACAGTCATTGATAATGCAGATGGCTCACGTTATAATGCAGATGGCACACGTCATAGTGGAGATTCCTCAACCTCTGGTGTGGATGATGAAAATGTAGGTAGTGGATCTACACATGACACAACTGCAATGGATACCTCCATCAGAAGATCCCCCAGTACCTCGTATTTTGAAAATACTACTCCAGTCTTGCAGCTGCCAGATCATTCTTCTGGAGGGGGTGAAACGGAATTTCCTCCAATAAGTACTGGTAAGGGTAATAGGTTGCAACTGTATCCTCTTCAAAATAACTGAGTGAAAAGTTACATTACGAGGTAAATGATTTCACGAGGCAATGAGAAGCACAGCCTCTGATTTGCATCCCTAAGAATTAAAGGGAAAAGTCTGTATCTTTGGAAAAACAGAATCACTCCAAATGTCTAAGAATTTTTTGTGATTAATGAGAATACAAGGCACCTGAGTATCAGCATAGTTTCCCACATAAACCTTCCTAGATTGTTAATAATAATTGGTTCTAAGCATTTGCTCTTGTTGTTATTAAAATATTGACACTGATTTCATTAGAAAGATCAAAAACATGATGAGCAGAGAACACAGAGAGGTTAGGGAGGCAGACGGTGTAGGTATCTAGAGAAAAGGATAATATATTATCTCTTTTCTAGTAAGATGGATTAACAGATTCTGCACTTAAGTAACAAAACCAAGGAGTAGTTTTCAGTACAAGTAATTTTTCTTTGTACAAATACAGGGGTGTTTTTTTAGAATGTCTTCTTACTACAGCATATTACAGAATGCACAGAGATTAAAACGTCAGATAAAAATGTCAAATAAAAACGTTACTAATAGGTTCTTCCTCCAGGTGATAAAGCCAAATTCTATTCCTGTGAAGCCCCACCAAATGCAAATTCCATACTCTTTCCTAGGGCATTCTGCAGGGTACAACCAAATATAGTATTAGAGTATCTTGCCTATATTTTGCTTTCTTGTGCAGGTGATGTGGGGTTTTTTTTTTGTCTTTTTAGGTTGCTTTTGGGGGTGAAATTATCAAAAGTGTAAAAGACTAGCTCCCACTGAACCTAAGGGTTACAAATGGAATGCATTCTCAAATACAGGGGAGTTTACTTTGTGACCTCTGACCACAGGCTTTTTATCAGATCATTCACAATCACTTACCAGTGAAGGATACCGGTAGTTTACATCATTGTCCTGCATAACTATTGAAATTTATAACTTTTTCTGAGCCAGCGCATCAGGATTGTAAAATGACTTAACACTGGTGGTGTATTCAGTGGCACTTTATGCTTATTTTTCTGTATAATGAATACCATGACAGGTTAAAGCTAGCATTTTCTTCCTGAGGAATTAGTATAAGAGTCATTCCCCAAAGTGTATGCCATGTACTTCAATTGCTTGCCGTGACAATTCTTATCAACTCTGCTGACATGCATAGCCTTTTTTTGGACTAGCTCTGAGTATATCTCAGTAAAGAGAAGAGTACAAATAACTTCATTGTTCTAGATTCCATGTCCAGATGGGACAAAGGTGCAATAAGAGCTTGGATGACATGAACAGATTGTTGCCAGAATTTTCACTATCTCTATAACATACAATTTTCTTGAAATCATCTGTTTTGGTGATATATATACCATGTTAGTAAAGCAAGGATATTTGGGGTTGAACTTGTATGAAGAACCTACTGTGTGTCTTTCTCCTCAGTTGGACCAGTAAATGCAGAAATGGGGGCTTGCAATATAGAATAACAGTAGCTGGGAGTATACTGAGTTGTAGCTCAGTTAATGAAATAGTAACGATTTATCTACTTTCATACAGATGATGACTTTCATACAGCATCAACTTACATCTCTTTGGTGCCTGTAGCTGATGATTTCCCTGAAAAAGGAGATGGACAGCAGCCTGCAAGTACTAGTAAGATTTATATATTATAGTAACTACATCAAATATAGATTGTGTTAAAGCTGCTTTCTTGTTCCAGCAGGGCATTCTGGTAAGTAGCAAGATATATACTATCTCCAATATTGCAAAATCATTGAAGGACACTGCTTTCTGGAGTGGTAGAATCAGAAATAAACTCTACCATCTGGTGATTGTCACTTACTTAACAGGACAAGGGGAGCCAAAACACTTACTGTTTGGTTACTTCAATGCTTATGTATGAGTTAAGAAGGTATTGTTGATTTACTTATTCTGTTTCCCACTGCCTTTTTATCACACTTATTTACTCTACAAGGCACCACAAATTAATGCAACCAATTATCACTTAAAGTCACCTTATTTCAAAAGTAGAAAGGATGTTTTTAGCAGTTGTGAGGAATGTATGTCTGTTTGTGGTTCTAATTTGTTTATTGTTGTGAAGGTGGATAATTGCAGGCCAAAACCATGGTGTCTCGCTCACCAAAGCCATGCTGTCAGTGGCAGTTCAGTGCCAGCCCACTTGTGTGCTGCGAAAGTGAGCTTTATCCTTGTGGGTGGCAAGACGCACATGAAAATTCTGGGGCTGTGGTGGCTCTGCAGGCTTTGAGACTTCAACAGGACACTATTTTCTCTGCTTGTCCCTAAAGAGCTGTACTGAGTAGGAAAACTTATTTTTTATCTTTATTTTTTATCCGATATCTGCTGCACAGCAGCTATATCAAAAAAAAAAAAAGCCTTTTGAAATCATCTTACACTTCTTAAAATGGAAATGTACAGGTATTCATCTGAGTTCTTAAGTTTAATGTGATAAAGATTTTTGTGCCAGAAGAAGTGAAGCAAAAGGGAGAACATTTGAATATGATGGAGGAGATTTACAGAGGTATGATTGACACTTGTTTGTAGTAAACATTGAACTGATAGAAATAAACGTTTCTTCCTGTCAATTCTTTTTTCCCCGATGTGGCAATGAGTGATAGTGAGGAATTTACTTAAGTGTTTGTTCGATGCTGATAGATAGTCAAATGATCTACATAATTTGGAGGGACATGGCCCTAATTACTGTATATAAACATTAAAGGGTAGAGTAAAAGTGATTTTAAGCCTTACAGAGTTAGCAAAAGCTTTACTAAAATACAGGAATCATGCAACCAAACATCTTGTTTGAGAACGTGTGAACGTTGGTAACACTTTACAAATATATAGATAAATACGTCCAGACGCAACCCATAAGGGCAAATAAGAGAGGCAGATTTCTGTTGAACATATTCTACTAGCGCAGGGATTATATATCCTATCATAAATGTTTGTTGAAGAGGTGTGTTGGTAAGTGTTTATTTGGGAAACCAAAGTTGGCTTGGGTGATTTTTAACAGGACTGGCATTGTAAAAGCCCTGCATTTATTTATATATACATTTTTAAGTAATGCTGCATTGACTTTATCCTGCACTCTTTAATATTTCAAGGTGCCTCTGTCAAATTATTTCCTCCTACAAATTTGTCACAATGAACAGATCAGGAAAGCAGATTAGATTTACGACTTCTCCACAGTTATGGATGTTTTGCTATTTGAGAATTTTTGTATTACATTGCTTAATTCTTCATGGTGCAAGAAGAGCTTTTTCCTGAAGGTGTTTGTATGTTTTGGAAGTGTTTTTGTTTGCTGAATATCACAAAAAAAATCTATAGTACTCCAGTAATTTGTTTCTGCGGGCAAGGAGAGGTGATATCAGATGCTAAAATACATCCATCATATTTGACTTCGGTGCTCACCATGTCTTAACCTAGCCTTCTTCAGTAAGAGAAATGCACAAAAGAAATGTAAAGGAAATAACATTAGATATTCCAACAGGCTACACTTTCAAATTATATGTAGTAGGTAGTATATGCATGCAATAATAAACCTTCTCATTAGTTAAATTCCGGGAAGTGTTTGTGATAACCTTATACCTTTTTCTTACTGAAAACTTAAGTTTTAGCAGAAGCATCAGTGGAAATTTTTATGTAATTATGTGTAACTACATATCCATAAAATACAAATGTGTGTATGTGTGCACAAATGAAATGATGGAATTTATTAAGTCCTTCTAATCATAACAGTGCTACTCAACTAGAGCATATCTGTACGTCAAAAATGTGCATTTCGTTGATATTTCTAAGGGTTTTCTTTTTTTAATGCATTATCCATATTCCTGTTTTGCTTTTTGACATTGACCACTGTAATCCTTTATTTCTGATACTAGAGTCAGAGCAGTACTAAATCTAAGGAATAATTGGTGACCATTGGAAGAGAATATGCCTATTCAGTCAGACAGCTTTTCAGAAAGTCAACATTTGTTAGGCTTTGCTGCAGAAGGGGCCACTCCTTGTAAAAATGCCGTTCGGAGTTTAAGTCCATACGCTTTGCAGTTTACAGATAAGGAAAACATATGTACTGTAGACTGAAGAAAATCAATTTGTCATGTTTGGTTATTTGAACTTTGATTTCTAGGTCTTGCATTTTCTAATGCTTTCATTTATTACACAAAAAATGATAAAAACTAGTGTCTTGGAACTCAATCTTCAAGCTTTTCTTCTGAATGAATTTTTGAAGACTATTCTTCCTAATTAAAAAAGAGTACATGATATCTCTTCCTCTTCAAAATATAGAGCATGTTTTCAAATGCTAATAAAAATATTGCTTGTGAAGAATTGCTCAGAATACAGATATTTCTGGAGAGACATTTTGAAGTAGATTTTTCTTGTTTTTTAGTGAATGTGTGTATGACTTGCAATACAACTCTTATTGTAAGCTCTGCTTTTTAGTGTCATTGCTTCACAAGGTTCTTAGCAGTGAGAAAGGTTAAACTATCAAGGTGGCTTGCCTGAGGGATTTCATTTTCTACGGTGTGCATGCTTCTATTAGCTTTGTGGGCTGTATGTTGAAATAAGTGAAGGATATTTCACGTTCTGGAAATATTACATTCTTTCATAGCTATAAAGCCTGTGCAGAATTCATTGACTTTACTGGACTTTCAGAGCAATAACACAGTCTTATACTTTAGCTGGGTGTTTCAAACTTCCTGGACGCTAAAACCATTGGTTTTTCATGTTCTTTGAGGAATGTACTGATACCACAGAGTTCATACATTCGCTTTGTGCTCACTTCCATCTCAGTGGCATGAGCATGTTGAGGGTGCCGGTGCTGGTGGACTTGACTTTGCTGGAGGAAAGGTGCCTCTCAAGAAATAACAAGTTCTCGGCTGAATGAACCATGTCCTAACAGCTCCAGGGCCTCATCGTGATGACCTGGAGAAAGCCACCACCCAGGCTCAGTGGAATGCGTTCTTACACCACTGGTGGTGGTCAAGTCCCGAAGACAAGGCGCAAGAACCGACGCAGGCAACAAGGGGTAACGAATGTCATGCTAAGAGGGGTGCCTGGTTTAGGGGTTGAATATCCTTGCTGCAGGAAAGCAGCAAGTTTCAGAACAGTTAAGTGGAGGGGGCTTGGGCGTGTGGTATTTGTCGGTGCTTTTTGTTTTGATTTGCTTTGACATGGAAAAAAGCAAAGGATCAGGCTCTCTCTCACTGACTGTACATTTGGTAGCCGTGGTACACTTGGCTGCATTCTTTCATGAACTGAGGAGGTGTGTATGTGTGTATATATATATATATATATGTGTGTGTGTGTGTGTGTGTGTGT